TTTTAATGAGAAGGAAAAAAGAATTTATTTTCTCTCTCTAGAAAATTAGGGTTTATGTTCTCATCTAATGGAGGCTCCCACAAGCCTAGTTTTCCAAGGTCATTCATGGAGGCATATGGGTGATTCCTAAAGGTGAAACAATTATCAAGAAGAAGGAGATCCAAGAAGAATGCATCTTGCTAAGGGATCTACAATAAGTGAGAACATTCACTTTAGAGGAGAGATCTAAGGTTTACTCAAACCTTAATGTAAGTATTCAATCTTTTAATTGAATGACACATCATGTTTTATTTTTGCATAAAACTTGTCTCTATGTAATGAATCAAGATCTATAAATTTAAATCCCTCAAAAAGTTTTTAAAACTAGCACGTTTCCCAACAAAAACAAGTTTGTTTATAATTAAAGAAAGAACAAGTTGGTGGTTAAATCCAGATTCAACCAACATTCTCACATGTCACCCTTATGTATGCAATACACGTAATGCTTGATGACATCATATGAACTCAATCACTCATGGTGAAGTAACGAATTATAGAACCAACACACTTTTTAATTGGGTCTTTTTTTTTTTTTTTTTTTTTTGTGTATCTGTTTGATATGCATTTTGTTTTTAATATTTTATTTTAATTCAAAATAAAAAAATATATTTTAAATAAAAAAATACTATTCATCGTTATGGTATCAAACGTTATGGTGTAGAACATATAAAAATATCAAATTAGTGTTTTAATTTTTGGCCACTATTCTCGAAATGTTTCGACACAGTGCAAAACAAAGCTTTTACCAAACACAATTTTTTCACTGTTCGCTGTTACAGTACCTGACAAAAACAAAAATATAAAAAACAAAACACATACCAAACATGCCTAATTATATATAATTATACTTTTAGTCTTAACAAATTGTTAATTTGATAGAACCATCATCTTAATTAAAGAAAAAACAAGCTTGTTTTAATTAATGCTATGTTTGGTAGGAAAGAAAAAAATTGAATGGAAGGGAGGGAAGAAGGGATGGATAGTACATCTTTAGAGAAAAAATTGTGTATTTTTTTTTGGTAGGATAGAAGAGAAGAAAATAAACTAATAATTTACCATGTTCGTTAAAAAAGAAGAAAAACGGCAAATGAAAATTTATAAATTTCTATTTTCTCTCTACACCCCTTTCTTCCTTATATCAACTTTACCGAACAAAAATAATTCATTCTTTCCTTCCTATTTTCTCTCTACACCCCTTCCTTCTTGTCTACCTAATATAGCATAAAGAAAGAACAAGTTTGTTGGTTCAATCCATCAACAACCCAATTAAAGAAAGAACTTATCTATAGCTTAAAATTTTAAATAATAACTATATCATAGTTTTAATAATTTCTAAATAATAATAACTTTCCTAGTTTTTTTATTTTTTTTCTTTCTGCATCATTATTATTTTTAATAGTATTGGTTTGTGCTGATCACATGGGACCACTGGGAGTAGTTTAGTGATACGTGAATAATTCTTATTACTTATTCACAACATTATGAAGACTTACACATCAGACAATCAGATACGTACTATTAATAATTATAAAATCGATCGAATATTTTTTGTAATAGTACTATTAATAATTATAGTCAGTCTAAACAAATTGTTTAGACTAGTTGTGCGAACATTTGAATGCTACTAAATGCCACGAGGTCGGACAAGAAGCCATTTGTTGGGGGAGAGTTGAACGCCGGCATCATGGGAGACATCGAGCTTGAAGGAAAACACAAGTTTGTTTATAATTAAAGAAAGAACAAGTTGCCAGATTCAACCAACAACTTAATTAAAGAAAGAACAAGTCGTTTTAATTAATTCTCACATGAGTCACCCTTATGTATGCAATACACGTAATGCTTGATGACATCATATGGACTCAATCACTCATAATGCAGTAATGCACGAATTATAGAATGAACACAATTTTTTATTGGGTCTCTTTTTTTATGCGTCTGTTTAGTTTACGTCTTGTTTTTAACATTTTGTTTTAATTCGAAATAAAAAAATATATTTTAAATAATAATTAAAAATTAAAAAAGTATTTTAAATAGTAATCAGAAACATGTTTGATAACGTCTATTTGTTACAAGATTTTTGAAAACAAAAATATGAAATCATATTTGGAAAATATAATAATTAGTTTTAAAATGTCATTTAAGAATTTTTCAAAAAAAAAAAAAAAAAAAAAAAAAACTACTCGTTATAATACGGAACGTTATGGTGCAGAAACATATAAAAATATCAAATTGGTATTTCAATTTTTGGCCACTATTCACAAAATATTTCGACACAGTGCAAAACAAAGCTTTTACTAAACACAATTTTTTCACTGTTCACTGTTACAGTACCTGACAAAAACAAAAAATATCAAAAACAAAACACATACCAAACATGCCCTTATTATATATAATTATTCTTTTAGTCTTAACAAATTGTTTAATTTGATAGAACCGTCATCTTAATTAAAGAAAAAACAAGTTTGTTTTAATTAATGCTATATTCGGTAGGAAAGAAAAAAATTTAATAAAAGGGAAGGAAGAAGGGATGGATAAGAAATCTCTAGAGAAAAAATTGTATATTTCCTTCTTTTTTTTTTAGTTGGATAGAATAGAAATAAACTAATAATTTACTATGTTCATTCAAAAAGAAAAAAAAAAAGGGTGAATGAAAATTTGTAAATTCCTATTTTCTCTCTACACCCCTTCCTTTCTTGTATTAACTTTACCGAACAAAAATAGTTCATTCTTTCTTTTCTATTTTCTTTCTACACCCCTTCCTTCTTTTTTACCTACTGAATATAGCATAAAGAAAGAACAAATTGGTTGGTTCAATCCACCAACAACCCAATTAAAGAAAGAACTTAGCTATAGCTTAAGAACTTAGCCATAGCTTAAAATTTTAAATAATAACTATATCACAGTTTTAACAATTTCTAAATAATAATAACTTTCCTAGTTTTTTTTATTTTTTTTCTTTCTGCATCATTATTATTTTTAATAGTATTGGTTTGTGCTGATCACATGGGACCATTGGGAGTAGTTTAGTGATACTTGAATAATTCTTATTACTTATTCAAAACATTATGAAGACTTACATATCAGACAATCAGATACGCCCTCGAATTCGAATACGTTCTAAGATCTGAGCTACATCATTTTCTTAATAATTATAAAATCGATCGAATATTTTTGTAATAGTACTATTAATAATTATAGTCAGTCTAAACAAATTGTTTAGACTTAGTTGAGCGAACATTTGAATACTACTAAATGCCACGAGGTCGGACAAGAAGCCATTTGTTGGGGGAGAGTTGAACGCCGGCATCATGGCAGACATCGAGCTAGAAGGGAAAAACAAGTTTGTTTATAATTAAAGAAAGAACAAGTTGCCAGATTCAACCAACAACTTAATTAAAGAAAGAACAAGTTGTTTTAATTAATTCTCACATAGTGTAGAAATGCACAAATTATAAAACGAACACAATTTTTAATTGGTGTATTTTATTTATTTATTATTATTTTTTTTTTGTATGCGCTTTGTTTTTAACATTTTGTTTTAACTCGAAATAAAAATAATATTTTAAATAGTAATCCGAAGCTAAAAAAAAAATATTTTACATAATAATTATAAGCATGTTTGACAATGTTCATTTATTACAAGATTTTTGAAAGCAAAAACATGAAACCATAGTTAGAAAAATATAATGATTAGTTTAAAAATATCATTTAAGAATTTTTTTATATAAAAAAAAAGGTATTACTATTCATCGTTATAGTACCAAACGTTATGGTGCGGAAACACATAAAAATACCAAATTGATGTTTCAATTTTTGGCAATGTCTCGACACAGTGCAAAACAAAGTTTTTACCAAACACAATTTTTTCACTATTCACTACTACAGTACCTGACAAAAACAAAAGTATCAAAAACAAAACACATATCAAATATTTGGTTAGCATGATTTTTTTATAAATGTAAGGGCAAATTCGGTATTAATATAATTTCATTTAAAATGTTAGATTTTTTTTTTTTTTTTTTTTCCCCCTTTCCTTCCATTTCCTCCCATTTTTGGAGAATTATAAAACTCCTCCTAATTTGTATCCTTCCAAACCCCTCTGCTTTCTTTCTTTTCCTTTAAAAAAATTTATACCAAACACACTATTTCATTTCCTTCCATTACCAATTTTTTTTTTCTTTGCCCTCCAACCAAACTGTGCCTTAATGATATGGGTGGTGATGATGTTTGCGGGAGATGTTGTTTGTTTGTTTGGTTTATTATTAGAGAAGTGATAGGTCTTCCGATATCAATTGTCGACCATTCCTCTGAATACAACGTGGTTGGGAATGAGTCGAAAAGAAAGAGATGTTTACGAGATTTTTTTTGAAGAATTCTAATATGATCCAACCACGTTATATTCGGAAGAGAAATTGATAATTGAGATCGGAAGTCCTATTAATTTTATTATTATTATTATTATTTTTTGAATTTAAAAGGGTTGTGGAGATAATATTTGATAAAAGGCATCTTTCACACAAGGCATGTTAATTAATAATGGTTATAGGGATGGTACAAAAGTATAACGGTTGTGCACCTGTCCTCTTATTCTGAACTGACTTAATATAAAGTTTTGGTAAGTAGGCTCAGTATGCTGCAAACTTACTCATATAAACTTATTTTGTCCTTTCCCATTTTGCTCTGATGTGAGATAATAATTTTTTTTTAAAAAAAATAAAAAGAAGAAGAGGCTTTGGTCCACGATTGATCTAAATAGCCTATATGTTGGCTGCGTGTTTGCATTAACTTAAAAATAAATAAATAAATAAGTAAGTAAAAACAAATTGGTGTTAGGCAGGAATAGGATGGTGTGTTTATTATATAAGGGGGATGTATCTTGCCAAAGGACATCAAATATTTTGGCAACACACAAGTTTCAAACCCAGCTAGTCAGTCTTGTTCAATATTTCAAATTAACATATATGGCAGGTGATTCGGCCGTCTCTTCTGCTGCACCAAGGTATACAATTGCTAATTAAGTTGCTCTCAAATACGCTATAATAGGATGTATTTGTTTTAATCTTCCTTTCTTAAACATATGTATCACTTGGCCATATGTATCATAGTTGTTAAAATTTCGATTCTTGGATCTCAGAATCACAAGATTCTACAATTCCAAATTGTCAAAATGATCCCGTTCATATCCAAAATCTCTATAAAGTAAAACCTCTATAGGATATGTAGAATCGGAAGTAAGATTGCAGAATCACGTAAGATCTTACAATTCTACCCAATTTACTAAATCGTGTTATTTTGTTCTCTTTGAAATTTATTTGGGTCTACAATTAACTTTAGACTAATAAATTTAATCATTTTAAATATAAAGTTCAACTCTTTACTTAATTACGTACATTAAAAAAAAAAAAAAAAAAAAAAAAAAGAAAACTAACATCAAATGTAAAGACGATCAACCCTAAATTTCAAAAGTATCGTTCAAATTTCAAAAAAGTTTCTGTATTTCGTTTTTTTCTTCTTAATTTTAATTTTTATTATTTATTTTTTCAGTACAAGAAACATAAAGAATTCTATTTTTTGACATATTCTTTGTCAATTCTGAAACAAAAATAAAAAAAATACTTCATTATATTTTCATTATTTTTTCTATCTCTATTTTGTTCCTTTCTTTTTTTTTAACCGAAGAATAAACTTTTCAACTAAACTGCTCAGACAATTCGACAACTAAATTGTACTTTCTCTCTTTACTAGGCTTTACTTTAAATAATATATTCTCTAAAATTTTACTTGATTGTTATGCTGATTTTTTGTTGAAATCGAGAAATTGATTTTAAGCATTTGTAGCGTGTCTTAGTATCTTTCAATGTTAATTAAATTTGTAAGAGTGACTAGATTGGTTATTTAGCCTTATTATCTACTTATATCCAAAATATTTCATTAAAAAAATTAGTTTAAGTTATTTTTCTAATAGTCTTATAGAATCTTACGGTTTTCGATCTGATCTTATGGACCCCTTATTTTATCGATCATACGTAAAATTCCGATTCTAACAACCTTGATATATATATATGTAATTCCGATAGAATTGCACCTAATGTTAGTTGTTACCTATTTGTAAAATTTGGACGTATACTTAATTAGATGGACTCTGAGGGTGTCTCCATAATGTAACATAGCATTTCTCCATTGTGACTTGAAATTTATAATTTAAATTAAAGAAACTACCACTCTGTATATAAAGATATGTATAGATTGCTCACTTAATTTTTTGGGGCAAACCCTTTGATATGTTATAGATTGGAAGGTAAGGTGGCACTGATCACTGGTGGGGCTCAAGGTATTGGAGAGTGCATTGCTAGAGTGTTCACTAAACATGGGGCCAAAGTCATTATTGCAGATATCCAAGATGACTTGGCTCAATCAGTATGCCAAGACTTAGGCCCCGAACTGGCTACGTTTGTCCACTGTGATGTTGCTAACGAATCAGACATTGAAAATGCCATAAACACCACCATTGCCAAGCATGGAAAACTCGACATAATGATCAACAATGCCGCTGTTGCAGATGAAGCAAAAACCAGCATCCTTGACAACAAGAAGTCTGAGTTTGAGCGTGTCATTAGCGTCAACCTAACCGGAGTCTTCTTAGGCACCAAACACGCAGCTCGCGTGATGATCCCTGCACAAAAGGGTAGCATAATCACGATAGGAAGTGTTTGTTCGAGTGTTGGTGGTGTTGCTTCTCATGCATACACGAGTTCAAAGCACGCCACGGTGGGACTGACCAGGAATGTTGCTGCAGAGCTTGGGAAATTCGGTATTCGCGTGAATTGCATCTCCCCTTACTTCATTGTGACACCATTGTGGATGGATTTCTTCAAGATGGATAAAGAAGCAGCCTCTGGCCTTTATACTAACCTTAAGGGGGTAAGTCTCGAGCTAGAAGATGTGGCTGAAGCTGCTATTTATTTGGCAAGTGATGAGTCCAAGTATGTGAGTGGACATAATCTGGCTTTAGATGGAGGCTTTACTGCAATAAATCCAGCTTTTGGCTTGTTTGCAAGACCTGTTTAATATATTTCTTAGCAAGTTTATGAGTTGGATTTGCATGTTGTAGTTTTATATTGTGTTAATTGGATTTGGAGAGTCTGATACATGTTTATGATAGCAATAAAATTTCATGTTACTAATTTTCTCTGTCTCATTCAATAATATCAGCAACAAGCTAGTACTTTTTTCCCCATTCGCATGTTTGACTCTGTGGCTCTTGTGCTTTATACGCTGTGAATGGGTGAAGTGCAAAAAATATGAAAAGTGTATAAATAACATCTCTCATGCTCAAATCTCACTCTTGTAGTATGAAAAGTGAGCAAATAAGGGCTTATTGTTAATTAAATAAAGTGAGATAAACAAAAATAAATTAACCTCAAGATTCTATTTACAAAAATAATAAAAGATGAGTAGAAGTTAAAATTATTTAAAAGGACTTGCACAAAATTAGAGAGTAAAATTAAATGAAATATAATGTAAAAAATGAAATAAATAATTTTTATTATTATCTTTATCTAAAAAATAAAATGAAATGTAATGTAATATATAATATAATATAATATTTTTAAGAGAATTCGAACCTAAAACTTAATACTTCACGAGACACTAAGTCTTATATATTCATCACTAGAGCCAATCCCTTGATATTTCACTCATTCAATTTGTTTCCTCGTTCTAGTAATTTCTATATAGTGCATTGGGACATCTATTTGAATTTAAATGTCATATAACACTTTTTTTAGGCATAAAATGCAGTCATTAAGGTCAATTTTTGTTTTAATAAAAGTTTATTTTATTTTATATTGCATAGAGAATTTGAGTAGAATATTTGATACCGAACAAGATTTCAACAAATCCCTTCTCATAATGAAAACAAGTAGGCAACTTTGTACTTACATTTTAGAAGAAAGGTAACATCGTTCTTACAAACAATTTTCTAAATAATAACTTTTGAAAAATATGACTTGAAAATAATTACATTATTGTGAGTCATAGACTCATAGTTCTCAAATCCGCATCCAGAAAATGCTCTTCCATTTCCCTGTATTTTGAGATATCAAACAAAAAATATTCCTAAATAAAAAAAGGGTTGAAATAAATACGATAATTAATGCATCTGTCCAACAATAAAAAGCATAAATTCATTTGGTGAATAAGGCACTATCTGATAGAAAGGGCTCAAATTATTGATTTAATTTACCAAATAATGCAAAAAAATAGAAAAAAGTTATCTCCAGAATCATTTTACTAGACATTTGCAGTTCAAGTAGAACACATTCACCCTGAACATGGTCATTTGTCTTCCCCTAGTAGACCTTCGTCTGTCCCAGCAATAAGATATTCAATAGTAAAGTCAAAGCGCAAAGCTAATTGGAATGAAGGGTGATTCTTAGAATAAGCTCGACATCACAGAAAACAGCAAGGTTTATTGCATTCTTGTTCATAATCAGAGGCACGTGATGATTCGTGCACGGACATAACAAGCATAATTGCTAAGCTATACAAAGTGATGCACATGAACTATCACATTTTCCATTATCAAATAGAGAATAATACAACCAAAAGCTCATGCTAAGTTTCAAGAACTCATTGCGAAGTGTTCTTAAAAGCATTTATACAAACAGTATCCAGTCACTCACACATCAATGAATCACCTCAGTTTCAAATTTGGTATAAATCAAGAGGAAATACAACTAAATTCTGAATTCTGCTACCAGTAAAGAGAGAGTAGAACACAATTATTTGTTAGATTTAAGGATTAATTAAATGCAGAAAACACCTCTATATTATAGATATTCTAACACAATTGATCAATTGTTGCATCTTACTGCCTTTTGTTAAAGAAGAGCCGTTAAAGTAACACATGATGATCGGCGCCAATACTCAGAGACTGGCGACAAGTACCTAGGGAGATGACATTTATACCATTGACATACTTTTTGGTGGCCGGCATTGACAATCAGAGAATATAGTCGATGCTAACCAACTATCAGGACTTGTATTCCCTTTCACTCCGTTTCGTCATTCCTTATGAAGGACGAAACTACTGCCTCCCTTATTAAAAGGAAGACATTATTAACAAACAAATAAATACTTAACATTAGTATTATTATTTTGTATCTAGTGATTGATTTTAGAGTCTAACTCTTGGAGAAATTATCTTCCTGGCACATAAGAGAGTGAATTACTCGATAATACCATGTCTTGGTTATTCTTAAAGTATTAAAGATTTTCCCCAACTCACGACCTCGGTCACTTTACACGTACGCAATTGTCTGTTCAATTTTTATTTTTTCAATTGAACCTCAAACTTGTTTCAAGTTTATGGGTAATCAAAGTTTTTACTTGTTATTTCACTCAACATTCTGATCTACTATTTGAAAATTTGCCAAACAAAAAAATGGAGAAAGGAAAAATAATCATTGGTACATTCATTGTTTCTATACTTCCTTACCTTTAAAATCACAAGTCTGACCATAGGATCGTTCTCATACACTTTGAACTTCTTTAACATCTCCACAATCTTCAAATGACATTTCATATATATATATATATATATATGAGCAACAGAATTAAGCATGGAATCAAACAGTTTGGCCATACCATTTCATAGGTGAGGGAATTCAATTTCTTAGGTCTATTTAGTATCACTTTTCTCACACCTGCATTTTCTTCAACAAGCACTGATCGATCAAAAATTAAGATGGTTACATATCAAATATATTAGTCTTGATCAACTACTCAGAATATGAAGTGCGTGTGTTGCAGCTATAATTTCTGATGCCATTTTTGCTTAAAAGATGGCTCAAAAGCCTCAAATTTTGGGTAATGGCTCAGTTTAGAATCCTTCTTCTTCTTTTCTTCTAATTTGTATATTTTAAATATTTATCTATTTCTTTCATAAATAACCTTCATATTTTGCTAGCCCATATTACAAAAAAATTAGGAATTATAACATGAAAGAAGTCCAATCTCATAAGCTGTTGACACTAGTGCAACGAGTAACTAAGTTTTGAAAAAAATAATATTTTTGTTAGAACTTAATAGTTGAAACGTCTTTTGAAGTACATTTAATGAACTGTTTGACTATTCTTAAGTGCAAATAATTCCTTGAAGGAAAGGAGAAGAGGAGGAGAAGGGAAGAAATTAAAAATATATATATATATATATATGTACACACATTGAATGAAATGTTTATCGAAATTGTAATGATCCCGTATCATTTCATTCTCATTGTGCAAAAGATGAAATGACAAAAATAAAAAATAATAATAATAGAATATATAAGAAATGAAGTTAAATATTGATAACTAAAAGACATAATAATAATAATAATAATAATAACAATAATAATTTATACAATTTCCGGAGGCATGACGAGAGAATAACAACAACAACGTCGTGAAAACAAGTGTGGAGATAAGCCGTGAGAGATCGATGCTGTGTTATGCTTATGTAGTCGTTGGAGAAATGAGCTCAAGGATGCAAGAACATGTATGAGTTGTATATATACTAGTTTACAACTACTAGAATCACAGAAATTTTCTTCCCCTAGTAAGTGTTCATTCAATGTGCATTATTTTATTGGTAAGGCAATAATGGTCATTCAGTGTGAATTCGTTAGATTGAGTGTTTTTTTTTCTTCCCCTAGTTAAGTGTTCATTCAATGTGCATTATTTTATTGGCAAGGCAATCATGGTCATTCAGTGTGAATTCGTTAGATTGAGTGGTTTTTTTTTTATTCCCCTAGTTAAGTGTTCATTCAATGTGCATTATTTTATTGGTAAGGCAATAATAGTCATTCAATGTGAATTCGTTAGATTAAGAGACACAGGGGTAGTTTGGTGGGGTGGAATGGAATAAAAGAATGTGAAATAAAATGGGCGTTTTTTTTTTTTTTTTTTTTTTTCGTGTTTGGTGCACAATTTTAAAGTTGGAATCATCATTCCCCACTATTCTTGGAGAATGACCATTCCATCAAAATCATTCCACCTTCAAATAAAATGAATAACCATTCCATTCCCACTTTAAAAATATACTAACTAAAAAAAAATTAAAAAATAAAGCTAAGTCCCCAACAAATTACAAACCACATCAATCCTGTAAACACACTGGCGACGAACAAGGAAGAAAGAAGTAAAGCCGGCCTCGATGAGCAAGAAGAGGGTTTGATCCAGTGATGAAGTGGACTGAAACGGCGGTGACTATGAATGATCTGGACCAGTTTGCTGAAAGTTGTCAGGAGAACGTCGCCGGAGAAGATTATCGGAAAATTCGTTGAGCGAGTGAGATCTAAGCGCAGAACTTCAGGTGGTACGTTTAGCACGTGTAGCGTCGTATGGGGCTGTTCTTTACATTGGACCTTCATTTGTGATTTGCTGCTATATGATCGATGGTCTTAATTAAAAACACCACCGCCGGATACAGATTATTCAGCGGCGATGCCTCCCCTCTATTCGATCACCTACTTCTCTCCATCGCCTCTTCTTGCCCCTCTGTTTCTCTCAATCTCATCTATTTTCTCTCTCTATTATCTCTTCTCCCTTTTATTCTTGCGTTAAATTTTTTTTACTAATAATAAAATGTAATTTAAAGAAATAATATAAATTCATTCCATTCGAAGTTTCTTACCAAACGCAGGAATGAGAATGCGCATTTCATGTTTGCAACCAAACGGTAGAATAAGAATCATCATTCCCATTTCATTCTCTTCTTATTCCATTTCCACATCCATTCAAATTCATTCCACCACACCAAACATGCCTAACTTGGTTTGTAACTCTGACAATAGTTTTTTGTTCTCAAAAAACTAAAAATAGAAAATTGTACAAAAAAAAAAAACTCTTAGTTCAGTTTTATGAAAACTAGGTTATAAAAATACATGTTTCCAGAGAACTATTTATTTTATATTTTCTTAAATTCTTGAGAACTGTTTTTAGGGTCACAAACCAAATAAACCCTTATTTTCACTCCAAATTCTTGAGATGTTTTGGACATTTTAAAGATATATATTCAATTAATCA